GCAAAAAAATGTGACCAGTAGGGTTACTGGCAGCAGTTAAATGCCTGTTATTTGACCGTTTTTTGACATTTAAAAAAATGCGAAATAAATGCATTTAAACGTTCCCAGTTATAATGGCAAAAAACGGGGTCAAATGTCATAAAAATGCCATTTAAATTAACAGCGTATTAAATGGCATTTAATTGGCAATTAATTACATCGTTTTCGACGTCTTGGGGTGTTGTAACAAATTGATTTGACCAATTTCATCGCGTTCTAACACGTTAGAATGTAATTTTCTGTCACTTTTTCCCCCGTACTAATGGGTTTGACTATTCGCACACGTTCCACGTACTTTTCTAGCTTTCGAACTTGCCGAATGTGCAAATGAACGTGTTTACACATGTTGGAGACATGTCTAACTCCTTCTAACACGTAGCTTAAAATTGTTTGAATGCGCTCTAAGTGTTACTATTTTTTTCCAAACGCATTAAAACTTTCGTTCGAGTGATAAAATTATCTCATGGGTATTTTTTTCTATTATTTTTGGTCAGCTTCATCGTTTTCTAATTATCATCTTCGTATTCGACTTTTTCAAATTAATCGTGTGATTTTTCCGAAATTCCTAACGAGCGGATATTCGCCCGTTCCTCTGATCGGTACCATGTTTCAGTTAGTATTCTTCAGAGAAAATGGGTTTGAGAAAGATACTAGCTAAGAATATGTGGATCGTATTCTGTTTACATCTTACCGAAATGTTATTCACATCCAAACTTGAAGTATGGGAAATTATTCACAAGATTGAGAGTTTTTAAAAACTCAGATATTCAGTGGATTTCGAACTTTGTCTCTTTCAGTATGAATTTTTTATAAATTGTTCTTGAAATGATTTATTTCAACCTATTATTAGCTGTTGACTATATATTTTATTATAAGTGCAATTTTTTTCAAATATTAGCTTAACTTGTACAACCTTGATTTAGATGTCATATCATATTCTCTTGGAAATGACAGATGGTGATGTGTAGGGTAGCAATTTTAGAATCCTCTATTGTGATGGAAAAACAGTCCTAGAAATGTCTGTTGTAACATAACATGTCTCTCTTTTTGTCGTTTCCTAGTGTGTCGCTAAAGATCATTATAAATACAGAGAATCTCTAGTCTATGGGTATGAATAACAGAAAACGTGTGTATTATCACCATAGAAAGAAAGAAAAGAAATTTTTTTTTCTTTTATGCTTATTGTTTTGCCTATTGCCGCCATTAAACGAATAATAAGAAAGCACTAATACAAATCGTCATATGTCGAATCGGTCGGGCAATAGAGAATAGAACAACTTTTATGGTTATTAAAGTAAAAAGGAAAAAAAGAGAGAAGAAGAAATAAAAAAAAGTTCACATAAGAAATACGTATAGGCACATACACATCAGTATGAAACACAAAATATAATCGACCGAACCTCTCGCATCATCATCTACTAGTAACATTTTGTACAAACATATTGCAGAATCAGTTCGAACACATTTACAGTAGTTGTTGTAGTCACATCTATTCCCTGTAACAAGAAAATTGTCATTATATTCACAAAAAAATCGTCATGATGACGTTTAAAAGGTTGAAATACGTGTATTTATTTAAAAAATATATTGCGTGTTTGTATCTGTGTCTGTACAACAACAAATTGCATATAGATATCTCATTGAAACGGATGATTATTTCAGAAAAAAAAAGAGTTAGATATGCCTTTGTTGGGAGAGGCATGTGCGACTGTCTCAGTTGCTAAACTATCTGTTTTAGAGCAATGAGGATGTTGTAACAGACAATGTATGTTTATCATAATGCGATGGAACGGTTTCGACTCGTTTAACAACAACATTTTGAATAATCGTATTTGTTAGGGGGGGGGGGGGTTTTATAACGGCGTATCCACGGGGAACCCTTTTGGGGGTTACCATTTTTTTTTGGTTTGATAAACCGTGC